AGCCTCATCTCGCGACTGGTATGGCTCTTCTCCGGCGGACGTCACCGGAACGGCCCGGGCCCGGCGTTGGCGCGCGCGCCGAGTCCATCCGTCCGCTGCTTGCACGGTCGCGCGTCAGCCCGGCGGGGCGCGGCGGGGCAGGGCGGGGGGCCAGCTGGGCCAGCCCGTATATGTACGACGGGCACCCAGAGGCCGGCATCAGTCCGCTCAGCCGCTCAGCAGCAGCAACAACCAGAGCCCCTCTCGCACAGCCGAGCCGAAGCAGTTCGTTCGCGAGTTCCTCTCAGTGCATCTAATACATCCTCTTCCAACAACATCAGCAGCAACATGGCCGCCAAGCAAGCCATCGTGTTGTGCGCCGCCGTCTACATCCTCGCCCTCTGTGGTAAGTTTCGTTACAGGCTACTTCGTGTGGTAGACATTATAATTACAGTACATTAAAGTACATTAAGAAGATTTGCCGCTAGTTGAACGGGAACGGAAAGTCACAAACATCGAAGCCTTAAGGACTTTTTGGCCTGAAAAAGTTTGGCAAAAGGCGGGGGGGGGGGGGCCGTAGGTTGCCGATACGTGACAATGCCATCAAACTCGCAGTGCTGTGGTTGCAACAGTTTCCTCCCTTCCGTTTCGTGTCGTTGAGCTACTTCCGGTCTAACGCCCGCCCTTCTTCCTTCCCGTGTGTGTGCAGCCGACGCCGCCGTCCCGCTCAGCTCCCGGAACACGTGCATCGACGCCCTGACCAACAAGGTGTACTCCGAGGGCGACACGTGGTTCACGACCGGCGAGCGCGAGTGTATGAAGCTGACGTGCGACGGCGAGAACACCATCAGCGGCCTGACGTAAGTGTCCATAACAAGCTGTGACGCCGGCCGGCCTTCCCCCGCCACCGCGCACCTTCCCGTCGACGACGGCGGCGACGACGGCCCTCCTGTACTAACCGGATGCTGCTCTTGTTCCTGCAGGTGCGCCCAGTTCCAGGTGCCGTCCTGGTGCTCCATCAAGCCCGGGAACCGGAAGGCCGTGTACCCAGACTGCTGCCCGACGCCCGTCTGCCCCGACGAGAACACCATCGAGGGCAGCGCCGCCAACAACGGCGGCGTCGACGCCGTCGCCTCCTACGGCGGCTACCCCTACCCGCCCGAGACCCCTTACTAAAAAGGACGCCGTCGAGGAGTCCGACGAAGGGGAGGCCCCCCACAGCCCAGTGACCGCCACCAAGACTGAGTCGAGGAGAGACGCACGCGTGGACCGTCGAGTTCAAGGTCCGGGTTCACCTCGACGGTGACCTGGCGACACCCGGCGCGACGCGGCTCCTGCTGTATATAATGTTGTGATAGCTCGAGGCGAGGCCGCCTCAATCTTTTGTGATAGAAAGGAGGAGACAGACAGTCGGTCAGAACAGTGAGACAAACTTGAATCAGTGCACAACGTTTGCCCAAACCAAAGAATGATGAATGATTGTCTTTTTAATTTATGAAATGCGTGACTCTGCGAGTGAATGTGCCAGTTGTACAGTGTGAATGGATTGTCGTTGTTTCAGTAGTGATTGTGATTTTTGGATAAAGAGATCATCGACTGAATTAATTTAACCTAGTGAAACATTATAGTTTTTTATTACTACATCATTTAGTTGTGATTCTTCTTCAATGGCACACCCGTGTACCAACCCATTACTCATACAGGCAGCCCTCGTTGTACACCACTCACGCACGTCATGTCGTACACAAGGTAGTGTGTAACTGACATGAGCTGATGAACACATGTGGAAGTGTGGAACTTGCATACTTTACACTGAGAGAAATGTTTCGTTGCAGCCATCAAAATTTTGATACCCACGACCAAATTTTGTTCGGTCAGTCCGGCTTAGTCACAGGCATCAAAATTTTAGTTGCTCTAACCGAAATTTCGGTTGCTGTAACCGAAATTTCGATTGGTGTAACCAAAAGTTTAGTTGCTGTGACTAAAATTTTGATGGCCATGACTAATCCGGACTGATCGAACATTTTTTGATCGCTGCAACGAAACATTTCTCTCAGTGTAGAGTGCGCAACGACCCTGCCCAATACCTAAAGCCGTTCAACTGACTGTTGCACTTGCACTGTTGGAGCTGTTTACCCATCGAACGCGTCTTCATTCTTCAAATGTGCGTCCTTTCATAAAGTCGCACTGATGTGTTTTTTTTTGGTTTCTTTCCCCATGCAGTGTGGTGGAGACGTTACTACACGCGCATGTTTCCGGGTCCAAGATAGCGAGGGCTTCCGAGCCCAAGGGCGCCTCGCGATATCGGAATTGAGGAAGGTTAAAAAGAAAAAGAGGGAATGACGCGGACCGCGGGGTCAAAGCAAGCGCGCCAGGAATGTTGGCCAGACGTCGGATCCACACTGTTGTGCGAAAGAAGTATCTTACACGCAGCTGCTTGTTGTTTCTGGGGTTTTATTTGCTAGTTGACTTGTGAGACCACAAACTTAAAACAGCCGTTTCTACAAACCCAGAAAACCAACATGGGATGTCCGCAAAGTTTCTG